TCGCCCTCTGTCAGTGTTTCAGGCTCTGTTGGTGCCTCGCCCTCTGTCAGTGCCCAGCCCCCCATTGCTGCTTCACCCTCTGTCGGTGCTTAAGGCTCTGTGGGTGCCTCACCCTTGTCAGGGCCTTGTCTCCTATTGGTCCCTCACCCTGTGTCGGTGCTTCATTGTTTGTCATTGGGGGGTGGAGTTGTTGTGGGGGCAGGCATACTTCCACATCGCTCTCAGCATTACTCTCATAAACCACAGCAGCCCTCATAAATTCCAGCAGTATGGTACTCAGACAGCAATGGTCTGGGGCCCCTGATGTTTCGGCCCCGTGGAGACAACAAACAGTCACTACAGCAGGGGGGCCCCAATACAACTTTTTGAGTGGGGCTCCAGAAAAAACAAATCTGCCCCTGAGTCAGGTGGAAAGGCGTGGAGGGGGGGAGCAGCAGGGGGTGACACCACAGCTCAAATCTGCTTGCTCAACAGGAATGAAGGACTTATAGGGGCAGCCCCAAGGTGACACATGTGCCATCAGGGGAACCCCTGAATCACCCATCAGCCAGATCGCCGCCTCCTGGGAGGTTTCCCTGGGGAATTCTCCAGAAACACAGTTTTTTAAAGCCGTGCTGCTCCCCACAGAAGGCTGGCTGCAATCAGACAAATTAAAAGCCCCCGGCCTGGTTTTATTACCATGTTCTTTTCATTACAAAAACAGCCTGTGAACATCCATCAAGGTGCGTCGGTATGAGCGCGGAAACAGCATGGAAACGGCAGCAAATTAGACACGAGATTCCTTCATGGCTCAGAGGTGTCGTGAAGGGACGTTGTGTAAGTTTAACTCCTTCGGCTCTGCGAGTACAGGGCATCTGGGCTTAAAAATCACCTCCTATGAAATGTGAGGGGTTAGGGTGGGGGAGGGGGACTGTGTCAGGTGACCCTCTCTGTTCCCAGGAACCCTCCCTACTGGTTTATATAGCTGTGTGTCCTTTTTTTACAGGCAGAACCGGAACCTAACCAACACCCTGTGTTATTGTGAAGGTCTTTTTTTCCCATAATCCCCCTTGCTATCTGTCCCCGAACAGGGCAGCTCTAACAATGCAGGGCTAGTCCATAGTGAATTTGCTGTGTTATGCGGTTCAGCTTCTGGGCTTTTCCACATATGGGATAAAATGAGTCGGTGCACATGGACGACCAGCAAGCCTCGTGCTTGAATGATGCCATATCATGTTACCTTTACTTCTAGCACACTGGGTGTCATTCAGTCACTATTTCTTTGATTTAAACTGAACTGAAAAAGCCTGTGAACAATGTACTGTACTGTACTTTTAATATTGTGAACTAACAAAGCCCATGGACATATGGTCTGCCTGCAGTTTACCGGCTTTAACCTGTCATATTAGGCATTGATAAACGGAACCTCAAGTGGCTAGACCTAAGAATGAATGCAATAGGAATTATAGTTGACTGAAGTGCAGAGTATCAGTCGAATCAATAACAATGATTCTCATGCAGTAAATATGATCCTTTTTATCTCAACAAACAATCCTTTACTGTGGAATAGTGTTAATTAGCTAGGCCCCCTCTACCTACCCCACGCATGCAACAACCTTATAGTGGATAAATGGCTGGAAGAGCGATGGATGGGTTAGGGTTAGAGGGTTAGGGTTAGGGTTAGGGTTAGGGATGGATCTGTTGCTAACACTGTAAACCATCTACTGGTTTCATATTTAAGAACTCCTTTGATTACAAACATGCAATTCACTGTAAATCACATAAATGCATTCATAAAATGGTGCTGTTTGCCTGTCTCTTTTCAGGGTAATGATTTTCTGTACTTTATAGCCACAAGAAGACACAAATTCAGCTTTGGCCAGCTTTGGCTTACTCTAGGAGCTGCTCGATTAGGAGGACATAATCTGTGGGAGTTTACTGTCGCGTTCTGGGTATTGCTGATGTGTAGAGCATGTAATTAGAGCAGGGTGTGTGTGCTGCATCTCAGGGACTCTTTTACTGCACAGTTGATTTCTCATGTCCAGTCTTTCAGAGAGATGATTACAAAGTCGATGTTCTCAATACTGCCCTTTGACCTTTGGGATCGACCCAGTGTCAGTTTCGTTTGGAGATGCAGAGCTGTGTGGAGTAGAGAGTGCCTCACTCAATATGAGCAACTGGTTAAAAAAAAATTTGCAGACATAAATTGGTTTTATAGCTTATATGAATCAGCAGTATGTGACATACTAATTAGCCGATCTCACTTAAACCAAGGAGTCTTTAATTCTTTCATTAATATTTACGTATAGCTATGTCAAGTTATCTCAAGTGGTTAGAATTTTATTTTTGCACATTAAAAAAATTAAAAAACACCATATTGCTCCGTGAATAATTGTTCAACTGATACCAATGGATTCATGCTGAGGGATGCAGTTCAGGTTGTCTGTGAATGTGAGTTCAGTTGTCCTGGCCTGTGCGGTTAAACATCAGTAATCATGCAAAGATAATAATTAAAAATAGTTTTCAATAATTCTGCTCCCAATCAAAGTGATACAGAAGGAAATCTGAAAATGAAATAATTTATAATCTCCGGGACAGATTTATCGAGTGCTTGCACCAGTATGAAACTGTCACCTGTTCTACTGAGTAGCAATTGAAACATTTATGAGCTGTAATCTTCCATTCTCTCAAAACTGTTTTTGCAAGAATATTTGAGGAAAAAAATGCAGTTGGTGCAAGAATATTGCTTAGCGAAACGATAAAGATCAGAAGATGAGCACGGGCTAAACGCGATGGACACTTTTCTGAGGGTGACCCCACCTGCTGCTTGTTAGATGCTGGTTGTGGAGCTGAGGACCTATCCGACAACGAAATAACAGACCTGGTTTCTAAACGCACTCATCGGAGCAAAGCACATTGTGCAGCATGTGTGTCTATATGTGTTGACATTAATACGTTTGAAGATAGTGTTCACGCCTCTGAATTATCCACGCTGATAACGGCTCACCCTGGCAGCCGGTCCGCCGTGGTCGTGGTCAGGATGCCACTGTAATGGGATCTGTATGCTATCGCCCCGATTAAATGCCATGCATTTGCAGTACAGGCTTCAGCAAATTTGTTGTGGCGCACAGCCCATCTCATATTATACAACCTTTGATAAACTTGCAGTATGACCAGACACCATACTGCTGCAACCAGAACCGCAACACTTACTGTGATGGTGATGATGATGCCTTGTTTATATATATGAAAATAACACACACACACAAACATACACACATATACATATATTATAATATACATTATTCTTGTGGATACTTCCTGGCTAACTTGTAATATTTATCTTAATATAAATGTCAAACTTATTCATATTTACTGCAGTGACAGTTCATATGAAGAATATTATCAAATACATGTGAATACCTTGCTGTTTACTAGCTCAGCTAAAATATAACAAACCAAAACAATTTTACTTAAGAAATTCATTCTGTCTTTTTCAGGAGATCGCTGTGGAAACGGAGGTTGAACCTGTGAGTATATGATCAACTGGAAACTTCGTTAATTGAGAAGTTATTTTGAACTCTGCAGAAAAGTCGACTGTGCATAAAGCTACAGCCGCCACCGTTTATGTTAGATTTCAGCATAACATTCATGAGAGCTACAGTCTGCTACATTATAGCTGCCTTGTGAGGTAAGTGAAAACAGGACATAATGTACAGAAGCTTAGCTGATCCCATTTAATTTGTTTACTGTGGTTTATTCAATGCATAAAACGTAGGAAGTGTTCAAAAGCGTAAAAATGAAACCAAAGATGACAAGTGACTTGGCAGGAACTGTTATATTTAGGCGTCAGTTGTGTATTTTCTGTATAAATCAGTGCTTGTCTCAAAAGCAAACATCCAACACACAATGATAATGTAAGATATTCTAAATACTTATTATAAAAATGCAGCTTTTAGCTGTTTTATCCCATTTTAATCCAATCTGAAGTCTTAAGTCTTGATGTACTGCTTATATAATTTTGTTTTCATACCAGGTAGGAGATGAGATTTTATTACGGGAACGGCAAGCGGATTACTGATGCAGTTATAGCAAGGCAGGAGGTTTCAGCAAAAAATGGCCCAGTCTAGCCGTTCACTGGGAATTTCACACTGGAGACAGAGAGCGGAGGTCTTGACTGGGCAGACAGATTGAAGTCAGCTGAGGAGCACAGCAGCAGGAGATAGATTGAGAGAGAAAGAGAGACAGAGATGGAGAGACAGAGAAAGAAAGCGGGGGAGTGAGGGAGGAGGGAGAAGGAGGGGGGGGCAAGCAGAATTCTGTGGAATCCCCATTCTGCATGAGCAGATAATGAGCCGTTACTCCGATTGGGATCTGGCCTCCTCCAGTGATAACGTGCTCCCTCCTTATATACGGAGATTTCTTACCGTTCAGCAGGGCTGCTGTCTGTGTATGAGGAGGTAAGAAGAGAGGAGATAACTGGGGGCAGTGTGTGGCACAGTAGGTCTGGCTGCTGTGTCACTGGTTCAAATCCCAAGCATGGCCGACTGATGGCACCGTTGGGCCCCTGATCACGACCTTTAACCCCGAATTGCTCCAGGGACTGGCAGACCCTGCTTTCTCAAAAACAAGCATCGCTTCGGATCAAAGCTCTGCTGAGCAAACAGATGTAGGTGGGTTTGGCTGGTGGTCTGTGTCACCCAGCGGCCATAATGTCTGCCCTGTAGTTCACATCCCCAGCATGAGTGGCTCGCTGTCACCGTCGCAGATGGACGTGTTTGCGGAGTTAAAGATGACTGGATAATGGAACAGTCCCCCTCTTTTGTCCTCCAGGTGGGATTGCCCCTTCGGACAGGGGGGTGGGGTGGGGGGAATAGCGACGGCATAAATAATCGGCCAGGCTCACCGTCAGGGCATGACAAATGACGGGCTCTGTCGTGCATGCTGAGCTCCAGCGGCAGCCAATCAGGAGCTGCCAGCACCCACCTGACTCCTTTCAGGCAATTTCCCTGACTGATGACTGGCTGGTAATGCACAATCACAAGCCAATGAGGGGGGGGGAGTCCCACATGGAAGGTTCTGGTCTGTTCTGCTTGATGTGCGGGAGGGTCCCTCTCTTTTGTGATCTTTTTTTTGCGTCTTTATCGTCAATCTAGAGTAAGGTTCAGACTACTTCAAGACTGGGTATTCACGGTGGAATTAAAATCCCGCTTCAGGCACCAGATCTTAATGCCTTTTCAAACAAGAATCTGTTTTTGTGTTTTAAGGGCGCGCAATAAAATATGGGTAGTCACAAAACTCTTAAATTATGAATCATTATTAGCATAATTATGCTAACCAAGCAATTTGTGTTTTACTATTCTTCAATCTAAGTCGTATAATATTTTATAGTGTGTCAGTTGTTTTCTGCCTTGACTCTAGTCCAGCATATGAACTACTGCTATAGTTAAAGGCTGTTATATATCGTGAGTACAGGCGTGACTATTATCTAGCTATACGCTTAAGGTGTTGTTCAAGTGCAATACTTGAAACAGACGCCTCCTGCTGTATTATAGCAGAAACTGAGAAATGGGGACAGAGTGTAATTGACCAGTTATGCTTGTAGTGAACAGGGAGGGTGGAATGCTGGAAAACAGACAGCAGCTAAGGATGGATTCCTATTGGCTAATCAAAAAGGGGTGTGGCATAAAGAAAAGGGGGCAGGGTCTCTTAGAGTGTGCCTGCTTTTATTATTGTCAGTAAAAAGGAGAATTTCTGTCTCCAGTGCCCAAGGACAGGCCTGCGAATTGATTGGCATTCCATCAAATTAATGTCTCTGGTCAAAGTGAGAATTTCTGTCAGAATCAGACCTCCAATTCTTATCTGTCAGCTCTAACGGTGAGTTCTCCCTGGACCACCTTCCTCCTGTCAACGTGCTGGAGAAAAATCTCACGCTTTTCCTTGTCGATCTTGCCTTTTCATAGCTCCAGGGTTCCTCCCTGAACCATCATTGATCACGACTCTGTTTATGTCGCTTTATTAATGCAGATATTCACCTCTGATGGCAAATTAGGGCCCAGCATTCAATTAGACAACAAGCATAATACAGTAGCATTTTTTTAGCCATTAAGGAGTGGGAAAGTAGCCTTGTTATTTGATTAGTTCTGTGCTTGATTGCTAATGAATACTGTTATGACACATTAATATAATCTCTCAATACAATCTTACTCCCTGCCCATAAAAAGGCTCACTACGTCTTGCATTGCTGGCACTGACAGATTAATTAACATGCAGAGCAAGAAGCATGACGATGGAAAGCACACTTAATGTCAGTAATCTCACTAATTAGGTGGCCCTAACTTGATTGGCTCAATTGCAATGAGCTTTTGGAGTCCAGAAAGGCAGCACTTGCTTATTAGGGTTTAGGGTTAATTCTGTTAACAGGAGATGGCACAGTCATAACATGACTGAGAGCGGGTGGTCTCTCCTTAACCCTAAAACAGTACCACCAAGCTTAGCACCACTCAAACCACATGAGTGCAGCCCTCAAGGTCACTGCACTAAATATTAAATAAACATGCTTCATATTTACAAAATGGTGAAGCAGCATGCTCTGCTAACCAGCTAGCCAGCTACCATCTCCTGGCAATGCTGGTAGGGGGGGGGGTGATTTTTTTGAGTGGGGTCTCAAAGACAATGAAGCCACCTCTGAGTGCCACCCTACAGTTTGTGTCACCTGCAGCTGTGTCACGTTAGCAGTGTCAAGTCAAGATTGTTTTTAGCGCCTTGAATGTACAGTCCCTCTTCTAGAGGCACTCAAAGGTCTCTTAAAGACGACATACTTCAATGAAAATTTACAACGTTGTAAATGATTAAATGTGTGTGTTAAAGGGTCATTTTCTGTCAGAGATAAAAAATAAGATGCATTATATATTTATAAGTCACTTATATTAAACTAGCTTGCTAGCAAGACACATCTGCCTTACAGGTTACAGTGTAGGAGAGAGTTTGATATTGGGGGGGTGGGGGGCACGACTGATTATTTTAATTTTATTGGTGGATGAATGAAGCTATTAAATATTGGGGGTACACATTCGCTTTGATTCCTCTGCCCCTGTAAACGTCTGTCAGTAATTGCATTTCATTATATATTACATATTATACAGTATATGTGTGTGCATCAGTGTCCGATTGTGTCCTGCTCACTGTAGTAGTGCTCACTGTTTATTGCAATCAACTGAATTAGCAAATCTTACTGCCAGAGGATGTCCAGAATGTATTTCCTGTCCTTGATTTTCAGTTCATTTTAAGCCCAGCTGGCACTTATGTGATTCACAGATTCCGGATTTACAGTTTGTTGTTTATAGAGCATATGAATGGCATCCACTGTGTTCCTGTGATGTAGCTGAATCAGAATGTCCCCTGGGTGTCCCCGGCAGGATTGATGTCAGGCAGTGACCTGCATGCCTGTACGCCTCACGTTCAGTTAATCATCCCGCGATGACACGTATCGGTAAATATGGCCCCCGGTCGATGCCGTGGCGTAGCCAAAATGCCCAGAAGCTCCTTCAGATGTCAGTTTCACCGTGGGGGGACCTTTATGCACCCACAGCCGGGAATTATTTTCTCAAGCATAAAATGCATCCTGGGGTCCACAGGTAATCTCCCGAAAGGGATATTGGCAGGTTGGAGGAGCTGATATTGTGGGGTGGTGCAGTGGTTAGCATGGTGATTAGCATGGTAATTAGCATGGTGGTTAGCATGGGGGTTAGCATGGTAATTAGCATGGTGGTTAGCATGGGGATTAGCATGGCAATTAGCATGGTGGTTAGCATGGTGATTAGCATGGTAATTAGCATGGTGGTTAGCATGGTCTCCTCCCACCTCTGGCACCAGGGTTTTAGCCTCCGCCTCAGCTCTATGTGTGGAGTTTCCATGTTCTCCCCGTGTTGTCCTGGGGTTTCCTCCAGGTACTCCGGTTTCCCCCTACAGTCCGCAAACATGCTGAGGCGAATTTGAGCTACCAAGCTGTCAGTGTGAATGGTGTGGGTATCTGCAGAGCTTCTGGGATAAGCTCTGGAGCCCCATGACCCTGTGTAGCATGAGTGGGTGGGGAAGATGGATGCAGGCAGTGGGGGTGGGATTTATGTGTGCCTTCCATAGTCATACGGAGGCTGAAAGTGGCACTGGGTCAAACTATGTGCTCATAACCCTCTTAAATGCCTTTTACACCCAATTTATAATCATCAAGCTAATCCTCTGTAAAAGTACTTTTGGATGGTAATAGTTTCTGTTTCCATGGAGCAAAGCAGATGTTTACATCGATCTTCCAGTTGCTTATCCTTGTCACGGTCCCCTGTAGCCTAAAGCCGGGTAGCGCCCGGGCAGGGGTACATCCTGGGCAGGATGCCAGTCAGTCGCAGGGCACGGACACCAATTAACCTGACTGCATGTCTTTGGACGACCGGAGAAAAGCATAAAGCAGAAGGAGGATCTGAAGCCCCAGCCCTGGAGATATAAGAAGACAAGACGTTCCACCGAGCCGCGGCGC